TCGCTGTTGCTCGAGAAGAGGTGTCCGACGTAGCCGATTTGGAGGATGAAGAGAACGACCCTGGACCATGTTAGAAGTGCCACACACCTGAAAGGACGAGACGGAATTTACCAGTATATGTCGATGATTGTGGAGTTCAGAGTGAAGGCAGTGCGGTAGAGGTAGTTCTGGTCCCAAATTCTTTTCCGAATTGTGAAGCCATCGTGGGGCTCATTGACCGTGTAGTAGAGAGTGACGACGAAAGCCAAGAGCCAACTCAGAATAGTCAAGACCTTGTAGGTGGTGATGGAGGCGGCAGTATGAGACTCCTTCTTGGAGAAGGGGTTCACTAGAGAAAATGTCAGCACAAACGAATAGTTGCATACACCGAGGATGGACAGTAGCTTACGGGCGTGAATGCGCTCTGTTGCGGTAGGCATCTTGAAGGATGATGATGGTTTTCCGGTGTTGAATCCTCAGTGGCCACGCAATCTGCGGTACTTGCGAGTCTGGTGTTGCACAAAAAGTTGTTGATGGCAGCAGAAGCTTGGAAGTAGCAAGAAGGCATGAGTTGAGGAGGGCGGCGGTGGCTTATAAGCGAGGGACGCAGGAAGCAGGAAGCATGGGGTTGGTAGATGGGACGTTAAATCTGCGGGGAAAGCAGCTCGCCACAAGCACATTAGCGTGTAACGACTAACGCGGATGTAGACGGTAGACCTGAAGAGAGGTTCCTTCCTTGCTGCAGCGGTCCTCGTCCTCCAGGGCTGGCTATGGAGGCAGGAGGCATGAGGCATGAGGCAGGAGGATGGGGAGGAGGTACTGTTCCGGTCCCGACTGCGGGACCTCAATACCTAAGGTACCTCAGGTAACTACTCCGTACAGATTCCAGGCTGGGGCGGGATACATGGACCATTGGGCAAATGAGATGGGATGGCTTGGGCGTGCTTGTTTGGACTTGTTTGGACGCCTCGCTTGATCAAGTAGGCTACGGGCTGGCGCCTAGAGGATGCTACTACCGATTGGCTGTCTCGTGCAGCACGCAAGTCAATGGGAGACCTCTTCGGTCAACGATCCATTTTGGAGACATGAGGACGATGTACCAGGTAGCCGTACTGTCCCACTACCTTGAGGTATCGTAGACGAATTCAAGAAGCATAGGGTAAGAACAGCAAGTGGCCTCAGGCGTGAAGCGCTTTGGATCGGGATCGCCCCTGCGGTTTTGCGGTTCAACAACATGACACAGGGAGCCTGCGAGCGGCAGCCATGCCAGCCAATGCATGGATAGTCAGACGGGCTGATCTGGACCTGTCAACCCTGTCTGGCCGATGCTCTTCCCTGCTGTATCCGGACCGCATCAGCCACACCTTGGGTCCGGGGTTGGAGACGACGTTTGTAGCGACGCTGTCGTCAGAGCTGACGATGCCGCCCTGGGCGAGCGTGACCGGAGTCGAGAGTAGGCTCATTTGGCTAGCACTCTGAGCTTGGTGAAGGTTTGAGACCATCCACCATCTTCTGCTCTTGTACCTACCTTGATGGGGTGGCACAGCAGCAAGCTGTTGTGAAAAATGTGCCACTCTTGAGGCTAGCGGGAAGGGTCGGTCGATTCAATCCAAGATGGCGACCACTACAAGCCACACATTGTGTCAGGAAGCCAAGAGGTAGGCTTTGGTCTTGGAAACCCCCGCCTACGCTTCCTTCCTGGCACCAGCTTGAAACTGGAGGGATTTTTCGCTTGTCTAGGACATTCGTTCATAGGAAGGAAGAACAGGCAAAAAAGGGGGCGTTTGGAGTAATGGAAGAGATGAGGTGAAGCTGGAGCACCCGCACGCACGCACTCGCCGCAGTGTGGAGGTACCTTGGCACCTTGCAGCTGCACCTCCAGACTTCAGTCCGATCCAATGGCTGGCAATGTGGGCGGAGTGGGGCGATCCGTGGTTGGGTCATCCTTGCACAGGTATGACGACTTGCCGCGACTTCTCGCTGAAGCTCGTCGACTTCAGTTCTTAGAGGCAAGAGCTCCTAACCTCCAGTGACTTCCTACCCGGTTGCCCCACAACGATCCCAAATGCCAAGGAGCCACTCTTTGCCGCTTCACAATTTCTCCATCGACCTTCAGACATTTCCTCCCGCATTTGCCTCCTTGCAACCTGTTGCGCAACCCATCTCCAAACGCCTCCACGTAGGTATGTTTGGTCACTAGTCCAAGTCGGAGCTGGAGCCCGTCAACCGTCACCGAGGCCGAGACACAGTCACACTTGCTCGACTAGGTCTCATGATACCGAGCTCACTACCAGACCGCCCTGAGGCTTACTACCCACAGTCTCCCACTTTGACTAAGCCAGAGGCCAACATCTCATTTCTTAAGACAAGTTGGCATTCTACAATATACGCCCCATCCATCATTCCCACAGACAGACTTTACGAGCCACAAGGTACCCCATGCCGACTCTTTATACGGACCCAAGTCGTTGGGGCCCATCAAGAGACGAGCCCCCTGGTTTTCCATCCATGGACCTTCATCATCATCACCTCATAGCTTCCCTTCCTGGCCTGATTTGCTGCTGGCGGATGGAGCAGATGAAAACATTACCCTGCGCACCTAGAGCGCCGTTTCCTCCTTCTCTCCAAACAACTCTCAATTCGACCTCATACATATGCAGTCTTCGCCCATCCCTTCCATCGCATCTAGAAAGTTGCGACTGACTGCACACCCACCCGCACAATATCCAATTCTCCAATGGAACGGTACGCCGTTCGAGGGGGCGGAAGCTATGGTGGGCGGGTAGCTCAGCACACCACCTTGCAAACCACCAAACCCAACTAAACCCGCCGGCCACAGACCGCTCCCTGCTATGCCGGGACAGGCTTTATTTTACGCAAAATGATCGGCAAAAACGCTTTCTCACCTGATTCCGACGTATAATTTCTTTGTTGCTAACGATTTCCCAGGTTCTTCTATCTCGTGAGAGAATAAAAAGTCATCGGCCAACTGCACGTCTCATGCCACTCACTCTATTCTTGGCAATGGCCTCAATGCAAAGTTCCGGAACCATACGCGGCAGGCGTCGAGCTCCAGTCTCTAGAGGGCCCACCCCCGTCCGACATCTGCACCGACGCGAGCAGGGAGGTATTTCTACCCGGCCGATACATCCCCACGTCACCGCACCTTTCCCTCCGGCCTGTGGGCTAAATTGCGGGGCACACTCCAACCTGCATCACCTGGCCCTTCTCGTGTCCTGCCCCCTCACGTCTAATGACAGCATCCGCGAATCAACTCGTCTAAGAGCTGCGGCACGGCCATTACCGACTGGCTGCCACATAGCAAGGCACCATGTTCAGGTCAACCAAGCGAGCACAATTCATCTCGATGGATCGGCCTTTTTGTGAAGATTTCCCAAGGCGTGGCGACAAAGCAAACGACTTCATTGGAATAGCATGCTACCCAGGTATCTATCTATACGGCATCCTACAATTTCGACAACAACTTTGTCTTCACACCAGTCATATTGTACACCTAATCAACCCAATATCTCTGCCATCGTCCGTTATTGCAAGAAGCCACATGGAAACGGCTCACCGCGTATCGGGTTTCGGACTCTGTTCCTGATTCTGAAGTATTCGTCGCCAGCCTTCTCTAATTTGGTCAGGCTCATCTCCGCCCTTTGGCCTGGCAGCATGTTGCTACTACCATCCTCTCTTTTCGTATTGTATGTACAGAAGATCGGCTTCTCTTTGGGGCTATAGACTGCCCTTTGTCGCTGCATCGATTGTGATTGAGGATGCGTCGAGTCCGCATGAAATGAAGTTGCCGCCGACTGTTGGCTTTGATGTTCTCGGAGTGGGGTCGGTCTCCGACGCCCGTGTGCCGATGCTCGACCCATGTTTGCGGCTGCGGGCTCCGAGGGCTCGGAGTAAGACATTTCTCTTCGAAGCATCTTCTCTCTCTGGAGACCACCTGTTGAATTTGGCTGGCAAGGACGGGCGTACAGCAAGTGCTGTTGATATTGTGGCTGAGTTGGCAACACAGAGAAAGGCGCAGTCAAAAGATCCAAGTTGAGAAGGCTCGTTTGTTGTCTGATTTGACTTCTGGGGCGAGGACCCGCTCTGAGATTTCCTGAGCCTGGCGACTTACTTTTATATGAAAAACGTATCAATATTGGAACTTGGCTGAGTAGGCCGGTCTAGCATGCCATTCCCCAGGTGGCCAGACTTTGTCAATGGGAATTGCACTTTTCTTGGCTAGATATAGCGGCATGCATGACCCCTCGGCTTTTTGGTATTTTGATGTAATGGTGTTGTTGAAACCCAAGTGAAATTTCAACTCCCAGAATGACAACGCCAGCTTAGTTGCTGACCCAATGGCGGTGCAGGGAAACTTGCACTTTTAACCCCTGGTTGAGCGGTGATTGGATCGTGTAAGGACCTCGCATACGGAGTGAGGAGCCATGAAATTACAATTCGGACCCAAGGCTACGTACTTGGTCCGCGGACTGGGAGCCTTACATGAAATTCAGCCTCAAGAAGGCGACGAGGGGCGGAGCTCGTTGGGCTTTCTTGGGTTATGAGGAGGACTCCAAGGCGCTTCGCTTCTGGCGGAAGAATCTTGTTTGGTTGTTGCAGATTATAAGAAACCTACAAAATGGCATCAGAGCATATGCCCGCCTTCGAAGTTCTAGGGACTACCTTTTGGGCGCCATCAAATCCACAAAGCCAGATAATTAACGAACTCAATATGGCGAAAGGAGCAAAAGGAGCGACCTCGCGAGCGTCCCGAATTCCCACGGAACGGTGGGATAAATTGAGGCCGACCATTTGCGAAGAATATAAGAGGAAGACTCTTGACGCGGTGATCACGTTCCTGGAAGATGAACATAACCTCATCGTTACGTATGTTTCACCTTCAATGTCTGATTCGTGGCTAATTTTTGATAGGAAACGTCAACTCGTCTACAGGCTAGGCATATGGGACTGCGCGAAGTATGGCAATCCCAAGAGTCTCAAAGGTTGTGATGGCTTGCCCGATGACGATAGAGATTACTGACGAGGATTTGAAAGATGAACAAAGCAACGAGGCTACCGACGCATTGGGGCTCACATCCGGTTTTGAGGCTGGCTCATACGCGTACGACCTAATAACCCACAACATTCAAGCCGCGAATGCAATCTTTGCAGTCGCCGGCGGTACTTACGCCTGGGAAATATACAATGCAGACTTTCTCGGCGATATGGAAGATTCAAAGAGGCTTGTAGCCCTTTGCCGATCGGCTGAGACCGTCGAACAATGCCAGACGGCTCTGGACCGCCTAGAATTACGCATTTCGCAGTCTAGCAGCCACGTGGGATTCTGGTCCCTATTATGCGTACATGTTGTAGAGAGCATGAACCACGAGATGAGAGACGACGATCACCGTACATTGAAAGAACCCATCAAGCAGATGCTTGAGGCCGCTGTTTCGTCCATTCTTCTCGGATCCTGGGAAGGCTTCTTGCTCAAAGAAGGCGGTTCTGTCGATCTATTTGCATTTCATCTCCTGGACACTGTTTATGAGCGACAGCACACGCTCTCTTTGCAGTTAGAAGAGACGGAACTCAGTAGCCTACTCTACGATCTGGATGACTGGGTTCTTCCGGCGCATGATGGCAAAAAGAGAACTGGTGCTCTAGACACGCTGATGCAATGCGCGCGGTGGTGTTTTCTTTCCCTCAACGAAGTCACACGCGACCCCTCCCAGACGCGGCTACAAATTTTCTCCGCTCACGACGAGAACGATTTAGAATGGAAGGCGCATCTCGAGATCTACGGGACTCTTTGGTACAAGCTGTTCATGCAGCAGCTCGACATCCAGGGACCAGGCTTCGACACCGGCGGCGAAGTCGACGAGGGCGCGCTCGCGTGGGCGCAAAATTCCCGGAGGGACCTGGGCATTTCCCACGCCGAGGTGCTTTCGTGCATGTGTTGGATCATTGTGAACCATGGTAGTATGAGAGACGACGGCGACGGGACTTGGGAGAGCTTGTTTGGACGGTCAAGGGCTGCGGCGCATGAGGTATGGAATACCGGGCCGAGGGAGCTGTGGATCGACTTTCTGCATACTTTCAAGAGATTCAATGATCTCACGGCCACGGAGGAGCCAGAGTATGAGCGCTCCAGGAACGCGTTTATGGAGGAGTTTGTGGCATTCGTGAAGGAAATTTTGAAGGTGTTTGTGACGTTTGGTGCATCCAAGACGGGAGAAATGGTTGGGGATGACTTCTATCCCGTGATTACCTATTGAGGACGGTCGACCAGCATGCTCTCCGGCAGTCTAGATGATCAAGTGTAGCATATATTCTCAAGGTACCATCTTGCGGTAGGTTCTTTTGTATTCTTATAAATTAATACACACTTCTATATGTACTAGATTTGAGGCAGGCTATGTGATTGTTTCTTCCTAGTACCTAACGTAAGTATTTGTGCGATTATAAGGCGAAGGAGTTCTTCTAGCGAAATGTTCCATCACATCCAAATAGCGGGGGCTTTCATTCGTGAGAGAGAGCCTTTGCCTCCAATCTCATAATAACAGCTGGATTTTTGGATAAGAGGTCAGTCGCCAAGCAAGTTGGTAGATAGATGTCACATGTTACGGAGAAGAAATGGCAGTCTGATTCTTGTCGCTCCTGCTCTGAATAAACAGGCGCCAGATCAAGTGCATGGCACACCGTTGCCAAGTCAATCAGATCCAGGATAAGAAACATGATGTTCTCCAGTCCCTCCGCTTCATGGAGAAATAGGTGAGCCAGCCAGAACAAATAGATCCTTACTCTGAGGATAGACAATTCCTCAGCCGGAGCAATGACTCTCTCGAGTGCGCGGATGGAACACACTTTGATTTCCTGCTCGTTTGGAAAATTCATGCGCTTGTTTTCTTAATCAAATACAGTTACGACGAGAATTCATGGCTCCGAGGCAGGGTTCTCATGGACAAGACCTTGGCTCTGTCCATGATCTATCATAGATGTTTCTCTATTATAAGGGCTAGAATATACAGGAAACAAGAACAAGTGCTAGCTACTACTACTACTACTATTGCTGATTATGCTCAATTATCCAATAGATTTGACAACAGGACAAGGTCGTCAAGATACAGTAGTGAGAAACCATGCCCACCTCTTGCCTCGCCTGACACCGAAGATGACTTCGAACTTGCTTTCGGTGCTCTCCAGATCACTGTGTCCAACAGATCAGGCACTGATACGGCTTTGGTACCTGCTTTTATATCCACAGTCGGAGTGGATGCTGGGGTCGGTAACAGGGGTTTGTCAGGTATGAAATGTGCCGCTTCCCGGTGCTCTTGCCTCGTCGTTGTTTATTGCCATAGTGAAATGGGTCCCAGGCAACAGCATGTTTTCGAGAAAATCGCCTTGAAAACCCGTTCACATAGAACAAGAGACATTTTGGAACATTGATGTAATAGCGAATCTCGAGTTCCGTTTTGCCTTTTGCTGATGTACGAGACGTGCATTCGTTGGGAGCTCTATATCGCGAATTATCTCGAAACATCTGGGTACTGCACCCCCAAGGGATAGAGCCATTTCATCTTGGCACCGCCGAGATGTGAACCAGCGTGGAAGGCGACTATGTCGAATCTCAGGGAGCAAGGCTAACTTACTTCTCCAGGTATCGTGTGCGGGAGGTTGAAAAGTTCCAACTATCGGCAGAACCTTCCGGCAGAACCTTCCCCGGATGATGCGTACGACATCAAAGCTCGCCACACACGTTGAGCAGGTTTTCTCGTCTTCGATTACCTCACCCCCCATACTTTAAGGCTTCAGTAGAGACAGCGAGCGGGCGAAAAGGTTCTGGAAACACCAGAGTCTCGGAAACATACCCCGATGATTGGCTTTCCGGCCGTAAGGGGGAAGCGGTGACCGGTTGAGGGGTCGGTGGGAATCCCTCTGTGCTGTTGAGATTTGAGAAGGACGTGGCAGGGTGTTCGTCCTGAGAGGCCTGGCTGGTTGTGACTTGGCGTCTTGTTGTGAGCAGCAGGCAGACGGTTGGGTTGTCCAGGGATTCCAGCTTGAGGGGGGTTTTTGAGTCTATTCGCGAAATCGGAATGGCTTCTATCCGAGAAAAGCTCGACCGCCGCCCCCCAAATCCAAGCCACTTGAAGTCGTTCACGAACGCGAATAAGAATCCGAAATAAGATTTTTAAAGAAAAATACAGCAGTAAACCGGAAAAACATGGCTGTCAAGGGCTGGCTGTCAAACGATGGCAGAGCCGCGAACGGGTAGTAGCGTCATTCATTGATTGTTGGAAAGAAAGCTAGGCAAAACCACAGCATTTCAAAGCACATTCCCAGATGGGCGTCTCTCCCCCTTCCCCCTCTCCCTAAACTAGAAGTAGAACCTTTATCCAGGCGAGCACTAAGTACTGACTTTATAAAATCCACGGTACGCTAGGAAACTTTGTGAGGCGGCTTAAACGCCGACGGTGCTCTCACTGGTCAGTTCGGCTCCGGTAGATTGCTGGTTGCGAACTATGATTATTTCTTATTCCACAACATTGCAATGTAATTGCAGGGCTTGGGCTGGTACTTCCGCCAATCAGCATCAACTGCCGCTTGTTAAAACTATTGGAGTCTCCATTGCCCGGTCTTTCTTTTGGATTCCTAGTCGTCGTTGGGCGTGAACTAAGAGGGCATTTTGGAGGGTGGATCGTCGTCGTACAAAGAATGTTGTTGTTGATGATGATGGGAAAGTTGATTTTCCTCGAGACGAGGATGATGTGGGGCAGGTAACCGGCGGCAGAGTTCTCGATTAGTAGACTTCCCATGTGTTTTTTTTTGTGTATGTGAGATGCCTACTTTAGATACTAAGTGTGCACCTGTCCACATGCTCACCCGCAATTCTGGATCAAGACCTTAGCGCTTAAAGGCAAATTAGACGAGCATCCGGCCGTAGGCGAGTAAACCAAGTCTCGCTTGCGCATTTTAACATGTCATGGGTGAAGCTTATCAGGCGTGACTCCGGTTACGTAGACGGCTGGTGAGGCTTGGCCGCTCATTTCTTACTTGTGACTTGTAACAACTGTAAATTCCATGAATCGAGAAGGCTCCCTTCGATCCAAAACTCGATGAACGGGATTTTCCGTGAGCCTACAATCTGAATAGTGACAAAATAGACACTGAGAGAGAATGTAGGGCCAAGTGTATCCCGCCTCCATGGAACGACTCCACATCCCGAGAACGGTATTTCTTCTCTCGGGAAAGAGCTCGTCCGCGATTCTTGGGGAGCTCTGATGACTCGCTGATATGGGAAAAGGGCAGAATGCCATCCTTTCGAAACTCGGAAGCTGTCCGGCTCCGAGATCCGGAGTGGAGACGCATGTCGAGCCGGAAAGCTAACCTGTGTTGAGCAAAATGCCATGAGGCTAGATGGACGTCCTTTAGCCGCTTTATCCGGTATGAAGGGGCGTTGAATGCCGTGCCAAATGGACTCGGTGAGCAGAACTTCTCCATATAAGGGAATCTGGACCACTCTGCATGCGTGTTTGTTTCGTAAGGCAAACCACTCCCTCCACCTGTTGTCTCTCGCTTCTCGGTCGAGACCCTTTGAGATAGTGAGATATGCATTACCGAGATTACCACTGGGTACGTAGCCGGCTCACTGAATAGAATTGGATATTGTTGGGCGCGGCTGAAGAAGGGATCAGAGACGGTTCTAGAGACGGTTCCAGAGACGGTTCCAGAGATGTACCTCGTAAAGCTCAATCGGGCGTTATGATCGTGAACTGACCGACTGTTCTGTTTCGTTGTGGCCAGCATGTGATCTCGATCTCACCATTGCTGGCATTATCAACCTCTAAAAAGTATTGAGACAGCATGTGAATAACGGTTGCGACATGTGTTACATGAAATGAATGAGTCTCTGAGCGAAGTAGGTGGCGGGCAATACGTCCAAAGCCTCAGTGTCTTGCGGGTTCAGGTGTGTTTTGCGGAGGGCATGAGGGAAAACGGGCAGAGGCTCACTGCTTGTCTTAACTTTAATGGCGCCCTTTTCCACCAATTCGGTAAACTTGGCAACGATCGGTCCGGAAGGCTTCTCGTATTACGCGAGAGAAGCCAATCCATTCCCTCGCTTGCCTCGTTGGAACTGCTGGAGGGCTGAAAAATGCCTGGGAATGACGTGTGGTAATTTGTGAGACATGAGAGCTGCAGGGATGTAAGTCACCCGTGGCCGGCCTAGACAGCTGCCGTCTTGGGGGTCCTTTTGATACTTTCTTTCGGGCTGGTGAGGCTTGCGTGAAAATTGATACTTGAAAGAGTAGGCTCCTGAGTGGTTTGGAATCCTTGCTGCCCGATGCAATCGATACAGCGGCCGCCGAGCTTCGGTATGAATTTAGGAGGAATGCCGATGAGAAGAGTAGACGATAACACGCTTGCGGCTGACTTCCTTGGCTACTCCGAGTCATATATAAGAGGTTTGTGGGGAATCAAGCCTCATGATGAGTAGAATGAGAAAGAAAGTGATCATGTACGCAGTGTGGACACTCGTCCGGTAAAATTCAGGGTACAAGGCAAGAACATGATGAAGTTGATGTGACTGCCTGAGAGGCGGTGATGGTGCGATGGTGGCAGGCAGAGATATCTCAAAAAAGAATGTTAGGGAAGGCCCCGGCGAAGTTGGACTGGGCGGGATAGGTCTGTGTCTCCGTAATAGGATCGAATCATCGATCGACGGCAGGAGGAAATGAGTTCATCCGTGGAGGGAATTGGTTGGCTTTTGCCCTGCAAGCCGGTATCTTTCTCTCCCTTACCTCATTGATGTCGGGGAGAGGGAGCGCAACCACATTGCTGGGCCCTTGCCAAGGCGACCTAAACAACAGAGTTGGCTTACGGGTACTGATACCTATTCTTCTTGTCTGGCATTGCTATCATGTACATGGCCGAGGTTGATAGGGCGAATGCTTAGATGCCGGGATGCGGGCAGAGTGAGACATACGAAGACATGGGAAGCGCGCATCCGTACCTCACCCAGACGGCACTCTGGCCGCCCTGAACCCAGCGGTATTCCCCCTCACCGGACATCAGCGGTGTCCGAGATGTGGCGTGCAGAAATGCTCTTCAGCCCTGCTCGAAGTGAGGTGCAAGGCGGCCCGACCATGGCAGGCAATGGGCAATCTCTCGGTCCCGGGCTCTTTGGGATGTCTACGGCCTACGGAGCCAAGGATGTACGGAGTACGGAGTATAGGTCTGGTACAAATAGGAAAGACCTGGGGACATGACCTGCATATCTGTTCATGGGTAGTGATAGCGGGGAGCCGGACCCAGACACCGAGGAAAGCTGTCTTTCACTGAGGGCATCGGGATGAAGGGGCGGTCAGACATGACTTTACTATGACGGACGATCCCTGAAGATGCTGCTGAGAGGCACAACCAACCAGGTCTCCTCCAGCCGCTCCTTTGAGGGGATGCTGGGAGTGGTCAGGAAAAGTCGGAGCTGAAAGCGCGCATTCATGGATGCTGCTGCTTGGTACCCTAATAAGATGGCTGACTTCCATTTTGAGAACTCGACTTCGAAGAGGAGGGGGAGACTGCAGAAAATGTGAGGGGTGAGGTGATGTGAGGTGAGGACGGGAGAGCTTGCCAGCTTAGAGTTGCCCCGCTTTTGTACCACGTGAGCAACGAGTGGTGTTCCCTGGGGTTACACGGAAACGGCCTCCAGTTGGCAGGCCCTGTCCGTCGAACCTGCCTCATAGATTTCCACCTGTTATCGGCTCCGGCTGCCTAAGGTATCTAGGTTGCCTGGCGTGCCTGCCCTGGCCCTGGCGCACCTGGATTCTCTTAGTAAGACGGTACGTACTGCGATTTCACGGGGTGAAGGGCACACGGCCCACGGGATGAAGTATCCGTAGGTAGGTATCCACACAGGACATCGTCAAGGTATCCATGGTACATACCTTATCCACCCTCCAGCAGCATTCGCAACCACCTGGAAGTCGTGCGCTCACAATGTTTTCTCCCTTCTCCCCCTACCTCGCCCTCTCCCTCTCTCTTTTTCCCATCCAAACGCCTCGACCCGCGACACCCGCCCACCATGGCGGTATGGCTTTCTAGTCCCCTTACTGCTACAGGGTCAACTAATGCCTATTCGGGTGAGTGGCATGGCGCGTCGCCTCCACTGGCATTCTCTGTCTCGTTTCTCGTGTAACAACCGAAACCCCCGCGAGACATACCAAGCAGCATTGTCTCTGGCGCAGACTCGTCCCGGAATCACTTCATCATTCACAATGGTTGGATCGCAGCCAGCTCCGAGCCATTCCGCTCATTCACCAAGAGACTCTTCTATGTAGACTCTTCTGCTTGCCTCCGCTTACGCCTAACCGGGAAGAAGCACCGCATCTTGGGCGAGCAGAGCCATTCAGACGCAGACGCTGCTTTGCCCTTCCATCACCTGCCCTGCAAGTTGGGCCGAGTTGGGCCAAGCAAATGGAGAACCTTCAAACGACCGGGGGACGTCTCTGCGGGCTTATCCGCATCCCAAGGTGCCATCCCACGAACCTCGATATTTCGGACATGGCAGCTGGGCAAACCTTGTCTGGTTCCATCCATACATGCTTCGCACCTACAGAGTGCTGTTGCGTCGCTCCCGATGTTCCCACACTCTTGACGGAAATAGCGTATGCAAACTTTGCGAGTCTGGACGAGACACTAGAATCCATGCAACATTCATTGCCTGCGTCTTCAGTAAAACGTCTAGAGTACGGCGCTAATTTGGATCTTCGTCGTTGGAATCTGCTCGGCTGACTGTCGGCGGAGGCATACCGAATTCGGACTGCCGATTGCTTTCTTTTCAGTTTCAGTTCATAGGGCCACGATTTACCGTTCTCTGACTTGTCAAATGCAGTGTCAGTGTCAACGATCGGAGCCTCGGGAAAGGAGTCTTAATGGACTTTAGGTCTGGCTGGTATACGGAGTACGCACGGCGGAGCGACAGCCAGCCTGTTGCCGACGCTACCTCTCGCCTTCGTATCGATCAATCACTAATCGACCTGAGATCGGTCGATGTGCAGCCCGGGACCAGGCATTCTGGGACGCGGACCGAAATGCAAAAGCATAGCCAAGGCAGACGCCGCCATCCACCCCTGGACATAGAGACTTCTTGTGGCCATTTAGGCTTTGGAAGGGAAGGGGGGGTCAGCATCGGCACCACCACCGTCAGCGGTCCCTTATGCCTGGAACCCTGGGTCGTTCGGCTACGTTGCTCGCGGCGCGGGCCATATTGCGGCGCACGCTATGAATTCAGCAAACCATGCTCCATCTTATCTCATCCCCCCCGGTCTGCCACCTTGAAGTTATACGTCTTTTTTGCGGTCAACACGGGCCACTCCCGCGCCTCCTTCGGAGCAAAGAGTCAATGCGCCAGATGCCCGCTGACCGATCCGCGGCCGTCTGCGTCCCCAGACGAAGAGAACCTACGTCGGGCGGGATAATGCCTGTTCCAGTCCTGAAGCAACCCAGGTGATGTTGGCGCGGGGGCGTGGGCATGGCTGGTTTTCCCTTGATGCGCCAGACGAAAGCCGAAATGCTCTGCAGAGAGGCGACAACTAAGCAGGAAAGCCACGCCGATCATCCGTTCCTTGTCCCAGTCGCCTTGCTATTGAGAGTCACGAGTGTATCCGTATGCTCTGTCAGTCAACCTAGAAGCCGGCTGTGGAACACGCGATGGGGATGCAACCTAGAAGATGCAAATCACCATTTGCACTTACCTCGGAAAGGACGGCGATACTGGAATCACGAGAAGCATGTAGTTGTGATCTTCACGATTATTTCACGTCACAATTGCAGCCGTCAATTGCCACCTGATGACGATACCTTTGAGATATCCCGCCTTTCATTGCCGCCAAATGTTCCACAACAGTTCTCGCTGATTAGAATCGTTCGAATAAAGGTCAATATGCCAGGATTGAGCACAACAGCCCCCCCAGCCATCTTGCGGGGCCGTCCGGTCGAATACCAAATCTGGACCAGATGTACCGCTGAGCAGAGGCACTGGAGTTGGACGGTAGACTATCAAAAAGGTACGAGGATCCGTCATACGGCCCTCGTCTCCCAAGCCAAGCGTTTGGCCCAACAAGAAGCTGTATCCCTCTGACATATCACACGAATGATGTTCAGGCGAAAAAAACAAAACTAAAAAAACTAAAAAAAAAACTCGAAGTCTCAGACCCAAGATGCACAAAATGTTCAGCGAAAGCGGCGAAGGGACTTGTCACGCCGTCCAACAGGACCCTCGTGAATGCAAATGTACTTTCCCTCGGGGATGGAGAGCAACTTCGCTCGTCTGTTCCGGTTGGCACTATCCAGAAATCGTTCCAACATCCTTGCTTGGCCGACCTTGATCTTGACCTGGGCCGTCCACAGCGACCCCTCGTGCCCTCCCACCAATGCCCGCCTCATTCCTTCTGCGCGTGGGGTTGATCAGAGACATGGGGCCTGGTGTGTGGCCAGCATGGACATTCACACCATACGGATGGCACACCCGCCTTTTCTACAGGCTTGGTTCACTTGGCGGTGTTGCTATGCTGTTCTGACTGTGTCCCCATAGAATTACTGTAGCAGAACCAACAGCCCGGACGACGGCGACGAAGGGGTAGAAGCAAACATGCTTATTCCAGACTCTATCGATCTAGTCGGTGCCGGAGAACCCCTCCGTAATGGAGAGAGCAGAGGGACAAAGCCAGCTTAATCACGAGAGACAACAAGCAAGGGAGAGGCGGGCAAGCAATGCTAGCCGGTGACGCCCGGCACACGGTCAATTTTGGGGGCCGACAGCACGGCCGGCTAGAATTCAACCATTTGCCCACCCTCCCACGCCTCCCTGCACCCCGGCCAGTAGGTACTTCGTGGGAACGCAAGCTTCAGACCACCACTCATTGCTTATTGCTCAAGTCGGCCACATCCACCCCCGATTAAATTCGCAATCCCACTTCCCTGATTTCCCTACGAATTGTGACCTTACGCACTTCCAGCAGGGCAACTCTCTTTACCAAAACGCTTTCACCAGCACAGCGTTCATTCAGACTCATCGTTACAAGCCAAACTTCGCTTATCCAACCACTGCATGCATCATCGATCCCGAGATACCAGCCTTACCTGCCATCACCAAAGCTTTGTTCATTGAGCTCTCCACCTCCGCAAGCAAAGAAGTAGGACTGCGTCTGTCCAGTCATCGCACCTTGATCACCTGTCAAACCCGAATTCGTCCAGACACTTATCGTGGAGTGCGAGTTACCCGACACACTGCAGGTATTTCGTGTAGCACCTGGAAGCAAACACCCGTCGGTTGCAAGCTGTCGACAGCCACTGCCTGCTCATCTGTGCCACTTGAGGCCTGCCTTACTTAGCATCGCCTCGACAAACATTGGTCACAGTCGTCCAACTCTGCGTATTTTGCCCTCCCCTATCTCAAGTCACTCTGCCACGAGCACAGTCATCCTGGCGCAGCGCGGGTTCTACAGGAGGGGAGCCCACTGGTTCTTGGTGCACCGAGTATCTCGTCAAGGTTTCTGCGCTCAAACATCCGCCACCCCTCACTGGCTTCACGGGTCTATAACAGGCCCGAACCGTCACAATTTCTTCCCAACTTCGCATCCAGTCTATACTCTCTCCCGCGTCGGATTCCGATGACGCACCTACAGCGTCCTCTACTCACACCACGCCGAAGAGGAGATATCAAGAAACATTTTCGCCTTCGGAGAGAACCTCCGCGCCCCCCGCTGTAGCAGAGCCCGCAGATAGGCAAGCTTCGGGAGGGGCCAGATTTCACACTTCCGTCCTGCCCGACGACGATGACTTGAGGCCGATCTTGGCGGGAGGCTCAAGTGCCAAGAGACCCTCTAGAGCCATGCGGCCGCCGATGAGATCCAGCATAGCTTGTTTGAGATGCAGGAAATCCAAAATCAAATGCGACAACGACAATACTGGATCGCCTTGCGACACGTGCATCAAGGCAGGACACAAGTGTGAGTTTCCTGATCCAACACCTCTTCCGGCGAAACGATCAGAACCGCCGACTGCGCCGAAGCAGGAAAGGGAAGTCGGGCATGACCGGAAGCGAGTGAAGAAGCTCGAAGATGCCACGTCCTCTGATGGACGTACTGTCGCCGCGCTTGCTCAGGAAGTGCTTTCGGCGCCCTATCTTACCGTCGACTTGTGGCATCAACTCTTCGACATATATAAGCTGCACTTCGCTACCGAACTCCCGTTCTTACATCTCCCGACTCTCAAGGGTATCATTCACGACAAAGACATCAAGAAGCCGTCAACCGAATCAAATCTGATCCTTTTGGGCATTCTGGCTCTCACCGCAAGATTTCACCCCGACTTGGTCAAATATGTGGCACACATCACACATGACAAAATCGCCGGCCCAAAATCTCGCGGTGCTCTACCCAGGCCGGAGCCATCAATGGCCTCAGAGTACTTCGCAAACGCTCTTACAAAGGCACTGGGACAACTCGAATCAGCCCTGACATCAGCTACTGTCGTCCGTGTCCAAGCTTTTCTCATGCTCGGCTTGTACAAATGGAGCCAGCCGAACGGCGGCCTAGCGGCATGGATGTATGTTGGCGTTGCCATACGGATGGCTCAAGGCTTGAAATTGGGGTTCGGAGACAAGCCTTTGAGAGGGAGGAGAAATTTGACTCTGTCTCCTCGGTCGAGTAAATCTACTCAACTACCCTCAGACCGTTGGAAAGACCAGGAGATTAGGCGTCGTACCATGTTCAGTTGCTTGATACTCGACCGTCTTTTGTCCTGCGGATCTGATCGGGTTTCTATGGTTCGGTCCGACGATCTTCAAATCCAGCTGCCATGCACTGAACACGCCTTCGACCTAGGCCGCGTTGTCTATACCGGATTCTTACGACAGGTGGGACATGGCATGGAGCCACCAATCGATGACAGTGTCTTGAGTCGATTCGTGCAACTAGCAGATTTCTGGGGCGATATCACCAAGTACAGTTTCGCGGGCGGCCGCCATACGGAATCCCTTCCGCCGTGGGACCAAGAGTCGACTTTCTATCAACTGAATAAGAAGGTAGATGCCTTTTACGCTCACCTTCCGGAAGAGTTCACCTGGTCTAGCTCGAACTTCTGGAAACACGACAACAGCATGTATGTGTCACTTCACATGCTGGGTGCCCTATGCAAAATCATGCTGCATCGCGAATACATCCCGTTCATCGCCATCAAATGTTCCGAGCCGGTTGGTCCTCTGGACGAGCCCGTCTTTGACCCCGAAACTGTTCCCGACCACTTTTGGGAGCGAAGCGCAGAGCAGGTTTTCAAGGCTGGAAGGGAAATCATCGACCTCATCTCGACATGCCGAGACAAGCTTCCTCATTCGTCACTAGTCATATTCGCGATTTGGCAAGCAGCGTTTGTTGGAATATACGCACGGCACTATCCCCACATGGATACTCAAAACCACATGGTCAGCAAACAGGAGATCGAAGAACGGAATTCAGGAGCCATGTCTGAAAACACGCAGACGGGGAACACCAGTATCGCTTTCCAAGCATTGACCAAGGTTGCACCTTACTTCAGCATGGCCTCCAATTACGTCACGTATTTCAAGGACATTGATCAGTATCTCACCAAGGTCTACTCCGACTACACAAATCGAGGTTCGAAGAAGAGCGGAGACGGTTCTCTGACCATTCGACTGGGAGGAGGTGGCGGCGGACTGGAAGAGTGGAGGGCAAAGGCCGACAAGATTACGAGCAACGGCATCATCATGGACGACGACCGTCCAACAGCCTACGACGGCTCTGATGGATCGCGGGCTAGCACATTGGAAAGAAGCTCTTCCTTGGGACCTGAGTATTCTCATCTCAGCGGGAGCGGTTCGGACAGCCGGAGGGATTCCCGCCAAGCGTCGTCATTTACCGCCATCAACGCCGCCGCATTCCACCAGCAAGCCGGTCACGAAGGCTATGCCGGAGGCATTCCACATCACTCACCAACTCAGGGCTTCCCGCCAACTCCCGGCTCCCTATCAAACGAGGCTGCGATGGCTAATGTCAATGCCGAGACAGTCAGCATCGATTCATATGTGCAGCAGAACCAGGGTCAGCGATTCGGCACTATGCTTGAGGACATTCAGGAATTCACGACGGGCGGGATGGTCTGCGCGCCCAACATTGGTGACTGGGACATGCTCAAGCCCCCCTTCTACACGCAGATGGCCGGTGGCAACCCGTTGCCCCAGTTCAGCGGGAGTTATTCTTGAAGGGGTCAGATGAGCAGGTGGGAGAGGCTTCTAGGCCCCCAACCCGAGACATGATTATATGGGGAATGATGTATGGGAACGCTGTGTAAGGGAATTGTATTTGAGCGCGTGTGATATTTTCAGACAGAAGTTACGAGTGCGTTATAGTCTTGGATACGAAGCCATGACGAACCCTTCCCCCCACCCCCTTCGCCGCGGAGCGAGAAGTCACAGGAAAATGTCGACCGGGCATAATCAGCATGAGAGAGCGTTAGAAAAAAGAAAGAAAAGATAATCATCACCGTATTTACGAAGAGTTGTTCCGCGGTGCAATAAGTTGCGCCACATAAGGGAAGGGCTCCAACAAGACGAACGCTAATAATCCATGCCGAAAGTTTACTGATAGAGAGTCCTCTCTCTCTCCCTTGGCACTGCCTGCCGCGAACGTTGAGCCACGTTCTCGTCACGTTCACGTCACGCAATTTCCTCGTGGTATTTCTCTCGTCTCTTTCTGCTTGCAGTTTTTTATCGCGTTTCGATCACGTGGGGGAAGCGTGTCAGAAGTCGAGTCGAGTCGAGCTCGATTTGAGTTCGAGTCAAAAAATGAGGAACAGGTCAAGTCAGTCTTGTCAGGTCAGTCAAAGAGGTCTGTCTCTGTACGACGCCGGCCGTGTCCGTTTTCCCCTAACATGTTTCGGCACTGGAACAATGTCTCGAACTGTTTTTTCCTGGAATGAAGGTTTACCGATTCCCAGGTACGCGTTGCGTTGCGCGGTGTTTGCGTAGCCATTTTCGCATGTTCAAAAGTTGACCCGAAAGGGAGCGCATTCCAATTCACCAAACCAAACCAACCTAACCCTTGGAGGGGAGGAGGACCGTAAGTAGTACCTAGTTCTAGCCCACCAGAGGGACACACTCCGCAGCTCCAGCCAGCCACACGGAATCCAGGGTTGACAAGGTTGCGGGCGTTGTGTTTAGGGGTTCTCTCGATGACGCGCCGACCGGCCTTTTTTTTCTGGATGGGATTTTGTATCTCACCTTACTCGAATGCGGCGCTGTTTGTCCAAGGCTCCGGCTGGCAATTACTATCGTGTTTTGTGTAATCCACGATTCATGTTGATGACGACTACCAATGTCAGTCACTCTGTCTCCCCCGACTCCCGGAGTGAAAGGGAAAAAAAGTAAATATGCGCCGGCAGCGTTACACAGGGAAAAAAACACAAGCCACGTAGTCCGGCGCTCGGGAAGCCGTGGGTGATGTGGTGGGATCACTCGAATCCCGAGACCTTTTTCTTTCCCTGGTACCTTTGGTGTCGGGTGTCCAAGGTAGGCTATTAGGCTTACGGAAAACTCCATCAAACCCCCCCCCCCCCTTCTTCTTTTTTAACCCTCCCTCACACCCGGCCCGCTAACATGCTACTTTTCAGTTTCTCACCTGGCTTCTGGGTTGTATCTTTGTACCACGCACACTGTTTATCGTTTTTTTTTCTTGTCTTTCTGTGCGCCTCCCGAAGGGAAAGATTGTTTAATCTTGTTGAATGGCATTTTGCTGTCTCATCTGACGAACGTGTGATCGTCACCGAGTGCCAGCGGGCGGTTTGTGCGGTTCTGTGCGACTTGCCTTGTTTGTACTTATGTGTGTTGGGAAAGGGGAGGGGGGTTACTGTTACACCCGGTCCGAACCGGGCGGTGGGTTCGGACGATACCTAATGCCGACCCGATCGGAAGGTAAGGTAGTACAGGGAAGGGGGAGGACAGCGAGACTCGGATCCGGTGTGGGGTGCGGGTCCGGCCCGGGAGCTTACAGGACCGATACGGGACGGACGGAATGGGGGCGGGCTGCGGGGGCCCGAGACGATAACCGGATCGTGAGTGTAAAGACACAGAAAACGGGAGCCCAGAACAGTAGGGACGGTTAGGGCAGGCAACGGCGTGTCTGAGCAAAATTCTGGTCCAACGAGGACTATTGCCCAGTATCATCGAACCGTTGTTGGTAATCAAAAAGTTCGTCCCAAAAATAGAAACTAGACCAGGTTGGTCATGCAGTCAGCTTCTCAGCCCAGCCTTGGAGGGGCTTCTTGCAGCCTAGGCAGCAGCAAACAAGAAGTAGGATCCAGCGGGCATCAGCAGCCGGCGAGAATGCACGGCCGCACAGCCCTCCATGGAAAGGAAAAACAAAATGGTAGCGAGACAGGCGACGCGGGTGGCCGCAGCTTTTTCGGGGCTGAGGCAGGCGGGGAGGATTAAACCCGACCAGACCATACGAATAGCAACAACCAACGCGGTAACGCCAGCCATTCGTGCGTTGCAGGCGACCCGGGTCCATGAGCTCCAATGTAGGATTTCCAGGATTTGAGGGTAATAATAAGCTTAGCTTACTAGCGAATCCCACGGGCTGCATGTCCATCCACCTCAACAGCCCGTCCCATGTTGGCCCTACCAGGCGACCGCTTAGCTGACCGATGAACCTGAAATACTGCAGTCAACTTGTCGCTAGTCCTTTTGCCAAGGATATTGCCTTACCTCGCCGGCCATGCTGCCATTGCATGGTGGAGGCGCACTCAGAGGAGTTGCTTTTCAACCCCCCGCCTAAGCAGGCTCTAGCCCGAATCACACCTTCGTACATGGACCGAAATCTGGTGTCCAGCGCGGAGAAAATAGAGAACAGGTTATTAAGCTGTCAGATTGCTAGATTGAGAGCCTTCTTGTGGCGATACTAGTTTCTGGGCACTGGCTGGGGTTCTCTTCCTTTAACGGTAGTTTGCACCTGCGGTTGAGGCTGAGTGATATTGCGGCCTTGTCGATGTAGGGCCCAGTGTCCGAGGCTCTCTGGAGTAGCCGGAGGTTGAAGGATATATGATCGACGAGGACACGCTTCTCTAGGTATTAGTCTAGCTGAATATCCATCAGTCTCAAACCTCTAGCAAGACCTTTCCCTTTTCTCTTGTTTGTTACATTGTCGAGCACCTGTTTCATCATGAAGGCATCAATATTCGCTTCCGCAGTGGCCTTCGCAGCCACTGTGATGGCTTCAATTCCGACCCCACAACTAAAGGCGCCGCAATTATCACAATTCCCTAAGATGGGTGGCCTCCAACGTCGAGCGCATTCGGGGACGCAGGTCCATAACGGCACGTTCGACCAGTATCTAGACCATACCGACTTGTCCAAGGGCACTTTCAAACAAAGATACTGGTATAATTCGGAGCACTGGGGCGGCCCAGGATATCCCGTGTTCATGTTAAATGGTGGTGAAGGTGATGCTGAGGGCCTGACCGGTTATCTGGAAAACGGCACCTTGACATACTTGTATGCTGAGACGTACAAAGGCGCGATTGTCCTGATGGAGCGTAAGTCAGCTGTTGGGAAGTCCGCAAGAAGACTTTGCTAAACTGACACTCACCGTTATAGACCGGTATTACGGAAAATCTCTCCCCTTCAAGACTTTCACAGCCGACACCTTGCAGTATCTCAATGTCCCGCAGGCCATCTATGACAACACCCACTTCGCCGAAACTGTCGAGCTTCCTTTTGACAAGAAGAAAGGTGCCAACGCAGACAAGTCTCCTTGGGTGTTAATCGGTGGCAGTTATCCTGGCGCCCTTTCCGCGTGGACATCTGTCATTGCACCTGGCACCTTTGCTGCCTACCATGCAAGCTCTGCCGTCGTGCAGGCTATTGATGATTTCTGGCAGTTCTTTACTCCCATTGAGCAGGCCCTGCCACGAGCCTGCTCTGCCGATGTCAAGCTTGTCATCAAGCAAGTAGACAGCGTGCTTGACAAGGGCTCCGCAAAGGAGATCGATGCCATGAAGGAAGAATTTGGTTTGGAAACTCTTGAGGACAATGCCGACTTCGCGTGGTACCTGCTGAGGCCCATCATCGAGTGGGCAAGCAACGAGACCGCGGTATACGAGTTCTGTGACTATATCGAAACGAGCACGAACAACGGCAACATCATCAAGGGCACCGAAAAGTCGGGTGTTGGCTTGAAGGCTGCGTGGAAAGGATACACATCGTATATGTACAGCCGGTATAGCAAGGTTTGCGAGGGCGAGGAAGCATGCGACTTGTATGGAAAAGCGGTGGGATACAACAGACCGAACGACCTCAGCGCCGATCGCAGTTGGACTTGGCAACTTTGCAACGAGCCCTTTGGATGGTGGCATGTCGGCCCGCCCAAGTCGGACGGCACCAATATCGTGTCATCACACGTGCGGCCTGCCGACCGCCAGCGCCAGTGCGATCTCCGCTTCCCACAAACGTTTGGATTCAAGCCGGCCAGCTCCGAGGGATTCACAGCGGCCATGTTCAACGACTGGACTGGTGGTTGGAACGCCACGTTTGAGAATGTCCTCTTCTGCGATGGCGAGCATGACGGTTGGAGGTCGGCATCGATGAACTCTGATTATCGCCCTGGCGGACCGGTCAAGACCACCGAGCAGACGGCTACCTTTGTGGTCAAGGGAGCGAACCACGTCCCGGACTTTCTTCTGAACAACGGCGAAGACAATGCCGGGATCATTGAGCAAGAGGTGAAGGTCATTGGCAAGTGGATCAAGGCGTGGAAGCCGAACAAGTCGTCATAGTCAGCCGGTGTTATGAAGTATTCGGGATGTATTTATGGAATAGCATTGGGTGGCGTTTATGGAGGGTTCGGTCTGGAAGCTGTTTGCTGCATAGGGTTGTTTGGATTTAGGTGATACCTTTTGCATATTAGATAGGACTACCCATAAGAAGAGGAACTTGCATACCTGGAAGACATTTGCTACTTTGAAATACTTGAAAGAGACCGTAGATCGGACCTCCGCGAAGCCAGATGACAAAAAAGTGACGTGAGGATATGTCGCATGTTGACTAATCCCTGATCAAAGAACCGAGATACGCCAGTGATACATTCTAGCAACAAACATGTTGCCCTGCGATGTCGTGGCCGGAAGTTGGGGTGGTGTGGAAGATAACTCCTTCCAGGAAACATTTGACGACTGGTGATTCTCAAGCTTTGAACGTCCCACTGTCGACATCGGTGCTACTTTCCCAAGTAGATAGAATTTTCTTAGTCTAGCAGGAAGGGTGTCGTGCATCCAGGCAAGTACTTCTCAGGAAGCCGCGGGGTTGATCGGCCATTCCTTCCTTCGGCACATGTGGCTTTTGGTACTGCCGTAGACGTACTTTTTCTCCGTCCGGTTCGGATGCAGATTGGGAAAGTCTTACAAACTCTTCACTACACCTAAGATTATCAATCGGCCAGTAGGGGGTTTGACGGCTTATTTGCTGACTACCACAGAGGTGAGTCGTTTGTGCTGCTTGTATCCATGTATATGACAGATGTATAGTGCTCACTCATCTTTGTTGTTCCTAGGTTTCCACTCTCCACGATGGCGAAAACGAGAACGACGGCGTAGCCTCACAGCATAGGTAGATGGCGATGGTATCGGAACGACGTCCGTCCCGATGGCCCCACGGATATCTACTGATGCGGACCGCGGTTCCTTATCTATCTCGGAGAACTCAGGAACCTCCTCGATTGGCCCCGGCGCCCACCTTGGACTACCTTGTCATTACTCAAACCGGCCGAGCGATCTTCAGAGACAACTGATAGATAAGCTTATCAATCTGGGGAAGATCAAGCTGCTCCTCGCCGTTGGGACGTTCCCCCCAGCACCAATGTCACGGGAACTTTCCCATCTGTAGCCTTATGCAAGGCACAAGTATTCCAGCTGGTTCGCTCGAACTCCCAGATTGCCGAGCAGTGTCAATCTGGCCGTCAAACAAAGGCGGATGTCGATGCTCGCCCATCTCGCTCTACCTAAACTTGACCGAGCTTCACCGAAGGTATCTGGGACCCCCCCCCCCCCCCCCCCCCCCCCCCCCCCCCCCCCCCCCCCCCCCCCCCCCCCCCCCCCCCCCCCCCCCCCCCCCCCCCCCCCCCCCCCCCTCCCCCACCCCCCCCCCCCCCCCCCCCACGCCCCCCCCCCCCCCCCCCCCCCCCCCACGGCGCGCACACCGGTACCGGGCCGGATTGTCTTGACCATGCCAGCCACAGGCCCTTGTACAGATGCATATTGGCGCAACAATCCTCGGCCATATACGATCCTCAATATCCCCGACGATGATCCCATGTCCAACATTGTCAGCATTCCTCGGGAAATACGGCAACGCGACAAAATCCTCCGTGGGCTGTTTCGGACCACAAAGCCTACTGGGGTTGGCAGACGGGAAGAGAAGCTGCACGGAGGTAACACCGACACGCAACAGCTTCCCCGCACTCGTGGACGGAAATCATGTCATGCATAAATCGCGCTTTACTGTCGAGCTTCCCTTTCGTCGCCTTGACTTTTGCCTTGCAGTATGGCATTGTCATAAATTGCGCTTTGCAACGGGGACAGTAGATCGGCACGCCCTTTGGGTAGGTAACTCAATTGGAACGGTACCTGATTTACCCCGCCTTCATGTGGAATCTTTGGCTGTTCTTTGGGTGCCAGTCACAGCATCAATAACTCCAAAGTACTATGGGAAGGTTAGCCGGGAGCCAGCAATTTTGCTGCCATGTCCCGCCAGAGGAGACATGACGTCGACATATCCTCACCCACACGCAGTATGACCCGTTGTTGTTGGCAGGATTGGTCATCTGGGTGGGCTGAGGCTCACCAAGACGTATCGTGTAAGTGTCGGAACCTTTTCTGGCCCCTCCCTCTACTTGGTCTCACCCCCACAGGCTTCAGGGAGGTTTGCAGCTAACCTGGGCCGGGGTTGCAGCCTTTGTGCCGATCTGGAAGCCCAGGCCAACAGGCGCTCCTCGTCTTTGGTGGCTCTTGGGACACCAGTTCGCACCGTGACACCCACTCATGGTAGCTAGTCACGTTAGTGTAGGCGACCTCGCCAACCGATGGAGAGCTTCTCAAGAGCTTCGGAAGAGCTTCGAAGAGCTGTGGCAACTCTGGAGTTGCAACTAAACTGGCAGATTTTCTCACTTCTGTAGCCAGCTTCACTACTGCTCTCCAAGCGCCGAATTACTCCGAATTCTGATGTTTCTCACGAGTCTCAAACTCGCGAATGAGGGCTGGCCTGGCTCGAATTGGATGCTGCGCGTTTGGTTTGTTGGAGACACCCGAAAAGCTCGTTCTGGAAGCTGCGAGGATGGCCTTAGCCGCGGGGAAGTTTGTATCGAGCATGCAAAGCAACCTTCCCGACACCCCTGATAATTGCGGTTTCGAGCCTCGCCAAGATGCCGCACAACTTTCTTTTTTTTCGCCAGATGTCTTTCGACCAGACAACAAATGCCTAATAAAGGTCTCTTGAAGCTTACCCTTTCTCGCGCAGTAGGGCGCAACAACGGCCGCTTCCAATACTCAAGGTACCGCAACTATGTCGAATCCGGTGATCCGCGTCAAGCTCCAGCAATAGTAGCGTGGCTGCCCCCTCGGTGGGGCGTGGGATACGCCTCAGATGACGTCCGCTGATTTGCTCAACTGCAAACCTCTCCCACTCTCTGTCAAGGATGAAGCTGTCACGCTCCTCTTCTATCTGCACGTTATGACCAAAGGAATTGCACTGACTGGTACAAGGTCCACGGAACCGGAATACCTTTAGTGTACTTCCGAACGCAGTCCTCAATGTGTTGCCGTCTCACCTGATCCCATTCTGGCGCTCAGTACCCCGATCGTACACATGCTCACGCTGGCCACCAACATCCCCAAAATACTTCTCAGCTCCGTCA